AATCTCACTTATGTTAAATTGCTCGAAGTTAACACTGACATACGTAAAGTAGCTTACTGTTAAATTAGTTTTAGGTAAATTAATGATGTGTGTAGTTTGCTCAATTAACTGGCGATTTGCTAAGCATGTTTATCACCTCTGTTCTATTGCTCCAGAATTTACGTTGACATTTTCTACGTCAATACTTCCTACAACACCACAAGGTGTTTTGAATACGTGGATAGCTTGCAAAGCGGTATGTGGTTTTGAAATCATACTTGCACTTTTTAAGTGTAAGTTAGTTGCTACCCTACCAGTTAAAATACTTGCAAAGAAAAATTATTTAACAGCTAATAATAACTGAGAATAAGCCTTACATCGCGTTCTTTTCTTTTGCTTCTCCGCAGATCATTTATCGGGCGCCCCAACTTATAACGAACTGCAAATTCAAAAAAATAGTTTCCAGCTATGGAATAGCTGATGTTACAGTACAAGCAAAAAACGCAACCGTTTGGGTAAGGCAGAAGGAACTTATGATACAACTGAATGCGAAAAACCGAGAGGTGTGCCTTTTCAACGTGGCACAGAAGGTGTATTTTAAGGGTTATTAAGAAGTAAAGCAAAGCGGTACGAAAATTGTATTGGCTCAGAATGACTGACAGAGCGCAAGACGCAATATAATCGTAACGTTTATTTTTACATTCTTACTTCCACACCTAAAAAATGCAACTTTGTTAACACTAACCGAAATATACGTATTGCGTATAAGCTGACAATTCGTCCTGCATGCAAAACCTTCTCCTACGCGTTTGCATCCGTTCGTAAATATACTTTTGAAGCTAACTGTTAATGCATTTGTGGAATAACGCAGTACTTTATACTTAAGGTACTATTATGTGTACATACTATCTAAGCAAGGAACTGTCAGACAGCTCTGTTATTTTATATGTACTTTACGCGTACATCCACTAGATGCTTGCGGCTAACCAGGCTCGCTCGTTGTAAGTACCTCGGTACTATTATAAACCCCCGAATACTGCGAAATTAGTTCTAAGCTCATCTAGAATTAACCGTCGAGTCTTGCAAAGAACAGAGAATGAAGGCGAGTTTAGCCTGTGACATGATCTAAGCCGCTGCAATAATGAAAAGCTGATTGTAAGGTATCACACGTTCTGTTCAAACCAACCGGGTCGCCAACTTTCTACTACAACAGCAATTAGTGGTCAGGGTTCTGCGCTTATTACCTGTCGCCATGCAAGTCTAGGATGGTGTGCCTCAGGGACTATTTGAAAGTACACGTTTGTATTGATGTGTTATAATGACCTGGCTCAAACGATCCCGCAAGCTTGTTTGCATGACTCACTCGCACGCAGAAGCTGCACCTTCATCAGGGTGATGAAGCCACGGTAGATTCAAAGTCAGTTAAAGCCCAATGCATTTTAACATGAGTAAGTGTTACTTACACTGCATACGACAACTAATACTTTGCATATACGGCTATGAAACGCATGTGTATCAGCATTCTTTCGGCAAACGTTATCTATATGCAGTGTTTCAGGATGAACAGGGTTGTTTTAAGCAAACCGTACAGGCAACATCACATGGTAAGCAACGACTCAGTTTGTTGTGATAGGTCTTGCAACAAATAGACTACCATTACCCGGCAGGGACCAAGCGTGCAGGTTCGGATGCGCAATTAATGCCTGCCAGTCATGAATAAAGCGGCTCAAACCGCACTGAAGCCGCTTGAATGCCCGGCATCCAAATACGTTAATGGAATGCACAATCTCCACTATGCGCAGAGTCAGAAAGGATTCAGGTATTCAGTAGCCGGTAGCGCAGTTTACGTGACAACTGATAATGGCCTATGGTTTTAGCACGACCCACATTATTGTACCGAATATTCACCGCATCTCAACAGTCATCTAAACTAAAACTGCACTAATTGCATATTGCACTACCCTATGGGCATATGCATGGCCGCAGGGTTCGCTTTTCCATTCGTATATGCAACTCGTGGAATGCGCTCGCTGGAGCAAAAGCTAACAATATTTAAAAGACAATTGGATGATTACCTCGTCCACATACACTTTGCTATTTAGTAATATATCTCCATCCTACGCCTGTAACATACGCTGGACTTATTCGGGGTAACATGTGGTTGCTGTGAAACAACGCAGACTGCAGGACTACAGTGAAACATACCTTAAATACTTCCTTCCAAAGTACCGAAACATCCGACGTCACAATTCTAGCAGTGTTTTCACGCGTATACCTTAATCCTTCAGAGTTCCTATTCACCGCTGATTAATTAGGATGCTGGACCAATGTAAACGCTCATGCACAGGTCACCTTGATAACCCTGGTCGTTTTGCGCCTTGAATTTAAAGGATACTCCTTAGCTTGTATCAGTATGTTAGAACGGGGAGGCGTTGAGTGCCTTCTGCCAGTTGTCCGCCACTACACAACAAACGCAGTCGCTTTCAAATGGTTGCGCTTACAAGGCAAAAATGGTGTCGTTAACTAAGATTTTAACTTCACTATCTGCATTACTGCATGAGTGTGCGCAAGCCATGTTAAATGGCCCCGTCCTTTAATATTAAACAATGGCGCGAACCGTGAATCTTGTTTCATTTAGTCAAAAGGTTTGGTGTACTGAGGTGCAATATTTACATTGTAATGTTTACCTTTTAATTAAAATTACTTTTCTGAATTTCGGTTCATACACCAAAGGATCTAGACTATGGTGGAAGGGTCACTGGCGAGAAAAGCAAACAGATATTTACAATCATCCACCGTAAATATCGGTGTAAGTAGTATTGGAAATTCATTAGACGGCGTGTTTTTCTTCGGCAGGCAAGTTATTTGCATTGTTTTGCTTACGCACTTGACGTTTCTACGTCTTTATATTTAATTGACTTTAGTATACATTTGATTAAGCAAGCTTCTTACATAAGTGTTTGGATTTGGCCCAGAATTTTTCGGGACATAATAAGAGAATCTCAGGCAATTAGTTTAAGCTCGCTAGTTTCACTTTTTTTTAGCTAAATGCTTCCCCAAGGTTTTTATATTGCCTGCCAATATAAGGTAAACAGTTTGAATCTAATTATAAACCACGGGTCATTTATGGTCATATTTTCTTGAACTGAAGCAGGAATCATGTCAGTACTCGAACAACGATGTAATTTCATGGACACCAGTTGTAATCGTCGTAGTACCCAGTCGCTTGCTTAGCTGTTTCAACGACGGTCGATTTTAATTTAATTAGTCGATTGTAATGGGTAGGAGTACGTATTCCTGGGCATGTACCAAACAGGGCTATAAGCAGTAACCTTTATATACTGTCTAGAAAATGAGATAGTACTAGATGGCTTTCGAGTAAAAAAAGCCCAGCATATAGAACAGTATTATTATTTCAGCTTTACCACCGAAGCATTTGTTGGTAAACTTACAAAAGAAAACGCTCGGGTAATTACTAGAACTTAGAAATGATTCGGAGGCAGAAAAATACCGGAAGACAGCATCTAAGGTCGGCTCACGGAAGAAGCACTTGCTCACGATCGACTGCAAAACCTTAGGTTATCTGTTCTGGGTTCCAAATGAATACGATTGATTTTAGTGTAGAAGTAATTTTGTGCTTTATATACTTTACACAATTGGACCCTAGTTTGCGCTTGGGTTCACTGAATGACTTTTAGCTTTGCCTTTAAAGTGGGAACATAATCAACATTTGGTTGGCCAACTAAAGCTTACTGCATTAGTTTCAACGGTAGGTGAAGGGTCATCCCTAGAGCTACGGGCCGTGATGGAAATTTGAACGATAGGCGTCAAGTAGCAAAGCCTAAAGCATGCCTTTTCATAAACACACTGCAAAGTGTGTTAGCAATCGCGTGTTGTAAAATCCCATAGAGAAACCACGTGTGGAGCAGGAGGATGTTTTTTGAGTGACATGGTCTTTGTATTTGCCGCATTGCACTGCTCTATGAGCATCCAATTTAGCGATACAATACCTTGTTTTCGATCATCAGCGAAAACGGTTCCAACGATAAATGGTGTATGATGGAAGTGATAGTTGGTGTCTGCGTAAAACGCTTAGGTTTCCGTCACGCTTAAGCTCAGTTGGGGCAGATAAGATGTTACCGGTAACATGATAATCGCCGCTAGACAACATGTGGTTGTTCATCCGGGATAGTAGTTACATCCACCAGCTTGCGATGAAGGTTGCGATTAGTTAACTGGTTAAATACACATTCCTAATTAACTTAGACGGCATTCCCTCTTACGCAAGCCAAGTGCTTTTCGTTTAATAGGTAAGGATTTACTGCAGGTTCGTTGTACTATAGCCTTTCTGGCAAAATAAGTATTTCACTGGAGCGGACATTGATTACTCTCCAGCTGCACCGTTAGTACCTCAGCCCCAGTGGATTACATGACAAGGGAGACCACCGGGAGTAATGTCATCGGCCAACAATTCGTTGTCTCTATACGGCATCCATGTAGACAAAATAGTGTAATGATTTTATACCTTGACAATGTGGGAATAAGCGGCTTTTAAGAGCTCTTTTAGATCACCAAACTAACTGTTTACATGAAGATTTATCATCCACTTGCAACTCATCTGAGCGAATTTTGCTTGCAGGGAGAAGCGGTTGCCAGACAACATAGTTAGTCATTACAAAATATCTGTAAAGTTACAGCATATACGTTGGTTAGGAACGGCGTTAGACCTATCGGTGTAAAAGTGATATAAAATGGCTTGATCATTTGGAAGGTAAGGTGGATTAGTTTTAATCGCGCTAGCCAAATTACTGTGTGTGGAGCGGGGTACATGCACCTGACTCCAGGAAATTAGTTTACCTGTCCTTGAAGTTGTTTGAGGTTGTAGTATAGTCATCTATGATTCTGTTTATTTCTGTCTTGTTAGCAATGGTAGGTACGAAGCATTGGCTTCTTGATGTCTAAATAACCCAGGTGTCCTCAATTGGATAGGCCATGAAAACGCGCCGGACCGCTTTTCTTAAGACCGTGCAAATCCGAGTGCTTATTTTTTAGAAACTAAGTGAATTACATGGAATGTATTATTTTCGCGATTGATATCTTAATACTAGCCTGTTACAAAGGACAAGAACATTCGTAAACCTAACTAACAGAAGCGTTTTGAGAAAAGGTGCAAACAACCTATGCCAATAAAGCTAAACTTTTGCCAGTACTTATTGCAATGCGAGATAAGAAATGACAGCAAAAGGAAATTTAACCTTTCGGAAATCAAAGTCGTTAACGCGGTCGAGGTGCAGATCGGCGCAGAGGTTACGAAGCGTGTGGCGTCCACTAGTGAGGCGATTACGGCTCAGGCGCAGCATGTTATGTTGTGAGATCACGGCATTGGTGCTAACGTATTCCACTAATTTTGGCTTAAAGTGAGGTTGGACGATAACGAACGTTGATAAAAACATTAATAAAATTAGGTGCAGATGTATACAAATATTTGTGGGCTACATATGGTAGCATTACATGTAAAACACAAGCTTTTCCTGCAAACTTGCGCTGATCCATGTGTAGAGTGTTGATAGTCGTCCTTGAGCAGATTGTAGACACTTGTCGCAAAGAAAAA